TAATATCTCTTTTCCTTCTTATTTTTATTATTTCTTTTACAACACCTTATCAGCACGATCACTAAAAAAAAAAAGTAATTTTCTTGATTCTTCATTAATCAATTAAATTTTGATTTTCTATACTACCTAGTTGGCCTAAAGCAGACGATTTACCTAGAACATCACATCCCATTTCCTGAAAAGATTATGACTGGCACATGGACCCAGACGAGCATAATCGACTAAGCCCAAGCAAGCCTTTTCCCATAACATCATTAAAGACTCATCATTAAATGTGCAAACGTCTTATAACATCCCTTTATCATCATGCATGCATTCATAATACTTATTATACAATTAAAGAACTTCTCAACTTAATTGTATAAGCTCAAGCATTTGATATATATATATCAACAAGTACCACTGTCACAATGTACAATATCATTATCATCAATAACACACTCAAGTGTTCATATAGGCTTATGAGCCATCATCATAATATCATACATAATGTTATCCATGTAAAATACCAAACATAGGCTCCATTAACATGATAGGTTCGTAATCTATACATATAATCAAATATATAAATATAAGCTTATGACCGACTTGTCAATGGGACGTGACTAACCCACTAGGCATCAAATGGCTACTAGACACTTGCCAAAGAATGAAGACCAGACATTGGTATCCACGACACTAGTTACTATCAAAAGGCTATCACTAATCTATAACAAAATAAATGAGGAAAATAGCGTGAGTCACAACGGCTTCGTGAGTGGATACGGGTAGGTGACAAGCTAAGGGATAAAAGTGTTTCTTAAATATGCACTTATAATCTTATGTTGATTACAATCAATTTAAACTTTAATCTCGTGATCATGGTGCTTAAACACGTTTGAAATAGCATATATGATGTAAACACGTATGAGTAACCATTGGAAAATCTTTTTACTTTTGAAACGCTTTCAAACAAGTCAATATAGTCAATTTTGGAACTCATCTATCAATAGATGATTAGGAAGTAGAATGCTTCCTGTGACATTCTGTACGCTATTTATTCTCTATGGCTTATTTCATATCTCTAATCACATACTCATGCCAACATCGAGTATAGATCATAAACATTATTTAAGATGAACTTGACATGCAACTTATCATAAAGATAATAATCATAGTCATTCCATTAACATTAAGCTCATGTATTGTGATGGTACAACCCTTATCAACCTTGGACCGACAATGTACAACCGCATCGCCCTTTAAGTGTTTATGATGCATCATAGGAGTGAAGTTGTCACTACACCCCGTGTGAGTGGAATCAATTGCACTTGTTAAACTTTTATACTTGTAACATTTAGTATGCGGAATGTCCATCACATACATGCTTACTCATCTCATAATGCATATGGAAATTTCACTTTATATACATATCTCATGACATTTCTTCATGCCTACACTTTCATCATATTGTATGTAAAACACGCATTACATACATAATTTTGAAGCATTCATCATACTTCCTAAAACATCTCATGGAGTATATGGAAAAACACATCATACACATAGACATAATATCTTACATGAAAATCATCATATAAGCCATCACACATTTTATGCCTTAACATATCTAGCATACACCTTATACATTCATGGATTAATCATAAATCATATATTGTACCCACACTAGTTTAAAGATCGGAGTAATCAAGTGGACTCAAATATAAGTTACTTGTCCTCCCTTGTTGAAAACTAATACATAATATAATTTTTATGTACATAGCAAGTTGAAAATGGATTTTAAAATATTTTCCTCATCCACAAATAAATTTTGAGCTAAAAAATATTTGTAGAAAATCATATTCACCAATAATCTTCAAATCATGCTTCAACTTTACATGTCAAAATAGTTTTGAAGTAGTGTATCACTCACCTTACAAGAAGATCGATTACAACTCCGATTCTGTGTAATTTGGTGTGTTTTCAAGCATTTCTATCACACAATATTCATAACAATCAATTTCTAAACTAATAATGTCGGAATAATTAGTCTAGCAACTTTTGAAATCTATTCGCTTTTGATTATAGTCACTTTCTCTCTTTAGACTAAGCTAGAAATGTAT